AATCATGGGTGAACCGCCGGGTGATTCACACAAACTCGCTCATGGGTGAAAGCCCGTCAGGTTGGCCAAACCTGCCTACCGGTCAAAAAGCCCATTAGGTCGGCCAATCTTGCCCGCAAGTCAAAACTTGTTGAGTGTGATGTTATAAGCGATTATTTAAACTAGGGTTTGTTTCGAGAAGTAGAACAAGAGAGAGAGAGAAGGCAACCGAAAGGAGAAAAGAGTTTTTGCAGAAAAAGGAAAAGGATGAAGGGTGAGGATTGAGACGTACAGAAAAGTAGAGAGAAGAGATTATCATCAAAATCAAGCTTAATTCCGTTTCATCATACTTTGTTGATGATATAATGACATGATTTACTTTCCTACATCATTTTAACTTCAATTATAACTAAAGATTAATGTTCAGCTAAGATAATTTAAAAGGAGCTGCTGGAAGATTGCATGATGCACGTGACTTGGTCCTTAATTCATCCAGCATGATAAGCTCCTGAACAACATCGCTTGCTCCCAATTGACTAACCCTAATTGCAATTGCTACCTCGTTTGACCTCTAACCTGATTTTGCACGACAATACCCCTCCCTAAGCCAAGACTTTTCCTCAAGGCTTCAAAATAGGAAACTGCTTTACAATGAAATCACTGTCCTGCGAAGAAGCTTCCTCTATCTCCAAATCCTTCCATTTTATTGACCATTGGATGACATTTTACTCTCCACTTGTGATGAATCGTCTTTACATCATTTTCTCTTGTTCGAGTAAACCTTCTTCCTCATCAACAAAGTTTGGCAACTGAGTGGTAGTCACATGAGCTCCTCTAGTATGCTTCTTGAGTAGGGAAACATGAAACACTAGATGAATCTTGGCATGAATAGGTAATTGTAACTTAAAGGCCACACTGCCTACTTTTTCCAGCACCTTAAAAGGACCACAAAACCAGACAATGAGCTTTAGTGAGGACCTAAGAGCCATAGAATTCTGTTTGTAAGGATGTAATTGAAGGTATACCCAATCTCCAACTTCTAGTGACCTTTCAGTCCTTTTCTGATCAACATAATATTTAATATGAGATTTTGCCTGCTCCCGATGAGCTTTCAGGTTTTCAAGACCTTCTATCTTTGTTCTAACATATCACTAGCTGCAGGAATCACCACTGAATGGTACTGACCAAGAGGAAGACTGTTTGGCTTCACTCCATACAAAGCCTCAAAAGGGGTCATTTTAGCAGTAGCATGGTGTTACCACTATTCAGCCATTACTAACCATTGAGACAAGGAATTAGGGTGATTGTTGCATAAGCATCTTAGATAGGTCTCTAGGCATTGGTTAACTCTCTCAGTTTGGGGTGGTAAGAGAGTACTCATACAGAGCTTTACACCAACTGCCTAGAAGAGAGGTTTCCCGAAATGGCTTGTTAAAATTTTGTCTCCATCACTCATGATTGAGTCTGGTAGACCATGGAGTCTGAACACCTCTTTGAAGAAGACTTCAGCAATTTGCTTAGTTGTAAAAGGATGAGTCAAGGGAATGAAATGTAATTATCTGACGAGTCTATCAACTACCACCATCACAGTGTCAAACCATTGCAGGGAGGGAGGCAACTTCTCTATGAATTTCACAAGATACTTTTCCAGGCTTGCTGAGGGATTTCTAATGATTTCAAGAGTCCTGGATAAGACAGATTATCTTATTTATGAGCTTGACAGACACCACATTTCTTCACAAACTCCTCTACCTCAATTCTCATTCCAGGCCAAATGAATAAGGATTTTCACCTTTGATAAATGGCTTTCTGGCTTGAACGTCCTACCAGTGGTGTTGAATGAAAATTCTCCACCAAGAATTCCCTCATACCAGCTTGCTTTCCCACATAAATTATGCCTTGAATTTTTAATAATCCTTGTACATACTGAAGGTCCAACTCCTGAGTAGGCTCCAGTACAACCTTGACAATCAACTCATGTGTCTCCTCATCATCTATGGAACTGCTCTCCACCTATTGCATCCATGCTAGCTTTACCACTGTTATAGCATTAATCTGCATAGTTGATTCCTCCTCCTGATTTCTCCTTGATAATGCATAAGCTTCCAAATTTTAATTTCCCTTCTTGTACTGAATCTCATAATCCAATCTTAGCAATTTAGTTAACCATTTATGCTGCATAGAGGTGGTTAATTTCTTCTCCAATAAGTACTTCAAGTCTTGATGGTCAATCTTAATGATGAAGTGATTTCCCTGTAAATAGTGCTTCTATCTATCAATGGCCATTACTAAGGCAAGTAGCTCCTTCTCATTCGTGGACAATCCTCTATTTTGAACACTAAAAGCCTTGCTCAAGTAAGCAATTGGTCTCATATCCTGCATCAATACAGCTTCATCCCGGATTCAAAGGCATTTGTCTCCACCACAAAAGGAAGGTTGAAGTCCGGTAATCTCAACACTGGTGTTGTTGTAAGTGTTGTTTTGAGGTCATTGAATGCCTTAGTGGCCTTCTCATCCCACTGAAATGAGTCTTTCTTCAATAAGGAGTTAAGTGGTTTGCCAAGAATTCCAAAACCTTTTACAAATCTCCTGCAGTAGCCTGCAAGCCCTAGAAAGCCTCTTAGTTCCTTCACATTAGTTGGGTGTTGGCCATCCACAATGCCGATGATCTTTTCAGGATCCATAGCCACCCCATTTTCAGAAATGACATTACCTGAATACTCAACATATTTTTGAGCAGAAGTACACTTAGATTGCTTAGCATAGAGTTGCTGATCCTTCAAGGTTTGCAACACCACTCTCAAATGGTTTATATGATCCTCTCAAGTTACACTATAAACCAATATATCATCAAAACCAACACAAACTTTCGAAGATAAGGTTTGAATACATGGTTCATTAGGGCTTGGAAAGTGGCTGGAGCATTAGTCAATCCAAAGGGCCGTTACTAACCTTGCTGTTCCCGTATCCAATAACTCATCCACTTGCTTTTCTATCTTAATTTTATGAGCATGTGGATATCTGTAGGGCTTTAACTTGAAAGGAGTTGCATCAGGCTTCAGACAGATTTGGTGTTTTATCCCTCTTTCAGGTGGCAGGGAAGTTGGTTCATCAAACACACTGGAATATTGTTTCAGCAGCTGCACTATTTCATCAAGAAGTTCTTCCACTTCCGCAGCATACAGATAACCAGCATCATCACACCTCTCATCATGTCTCATTCTGTTGCTCCTCCCTACACTATCCCCTCTATAACTGTCATCCACACGCCACTGTTGGTACTTCCTTTTTTGCCTTTCCATATTTTCCAGAACCTCTTCTACCCTTCTATGAGATTCATATCCTCAACCTCTCAGTAGGAATCTATCTCCTCTTCTATGCAACTGGAACTTCTCATAGTCAAATAGAATAAGATTTAACCTTGACATCTAACCAGTCCCCAAAATAATATCCCACACCCCTAATTCTAGGACCCTTACATCAAAACAAAAGTTATACTACGGAATGGACCACTGTGCCTCTAGGCAGTTATGATCATTTCTCAATTTGTATCCATCCGCCAATGTTACAACAAATGGCTTGATCCTCAGAGTATTCAACCTTAACCTCTTGACCAATGTAGTATCAATGAAACTTTTAGAAGTGCATGTGTCAAAGAGAATTCTCACCATAACCTCATGTACAATTCCCATAATGACAATGATCTTCCTATCTTCATCCTCCAGGGCCATACAATCCTCTATTTGAGAAATTGTCTGAATCTGATCTTCCTGCAAGTTCATTATGTTGGCCACATCCTATGCATTATCAAATAGAAGGTTTAAATCATCCTTCTCATCTTCATCTTCTACTGAAATCATATTCATCAGTTTCAGCTTAAACACATGCCTCGGACCACATTTCTCTGAACATCTCCAACATAGATTATTGTTCCTTCTGTATTGTATGTCCTGTGGGGAGATCTTCTTAAATCATTCACCTTGATTCTTCTGGTAGCCCACAGATTGACTTCTCATCACATGAGGTGTCCTGACCTGAGTAGTATACCCCTTCTCCTTAGAAGCTGTTAAACCTCTACTTTTGTAATAAATTCCAAGGTTTGCTCCTGCAACACTGCAATTTCAAAAGCTTTTAAGAGTGAAGGGGGTTCTAACAATCTGAACATTTGCTTAAGCTCTTCTTTCAGTCTACTTACAAAACTAAAAATAAAATATATCTTCGTCAATTGAGGATCCTTGCATAACACCAAAGACTTCAGTTCCTCAAACTTTCATGATATTCACTCACTATTCCTTTTTGTTGTAACTTATTAAACTCCTCAATCTCATCTCTCCCCCTTTTTTTTTCCGAACCACTTCATCAAACTCTTCCTCAAACTGATCCCAGGCTATTTTATCTTTTACTCTTTTCAAACTTTGGACCACTTATCCACTTTACCATCTAAATACAGTTCCACAACATCTAATTTTTGGCATCACTGACTCCATAGATACTGAAAAACTTGTCATATTTATGTCACCAATCCTTAGGATTCTCACCACAAAAATTTGGTAATTCTAGCCTAGGTTGGGATAACCACACATCCTTACTGTATTTCTCTCTTTTTTCTCCATTCAACTCATCCTCTTCTAGATTAATTTTGGTAATCCCAACAGGGGTTTGCCCGAAACTAGACTTAGTAGAAGTACAAGGAGCCTTACCGAGAATCGACAATTCTTTCTATCCTCCATTGATTAACAATGTCAGATCTGCCAGTTGAGAAGATATGCTTTAATATTACAAAGCTTGATGCTCGACCTTAGTCTCCAGCATACTTCCCAATTATTGATCTTCACCTGAATGCTTTTACGCCATTCCCCTTGCTCCATTAACTATAAATCTTGCTTCTTCATGTATTCTTCTAAGGTCTGGGTAGTTTTAGATCTTGTTTCTGTCATTTTTCAATTTTGGACACAGCACAGACCAAGAAATGGGCCGGCTCTGAGATACCAAGTGTGATGTTACAAGCAACTATTTATACTAGGTAGAAGGAGAGAGAAAGAAGGCAGCCGAAAGGAGAAAAGAGTTTTTGCAGAAAAAGGAAAAGGATGAAGGGTGAGTATTGAGACGTACAGAAAAGAAGAGAGAAGATATTATCATCAAAATCAAGCTTAATTCCATTTCATCGTACTGATTTGATGATATAATGACATAATTTACCACCCTACATCATTTAAACTTCAATAGTAAGTAAAGATTAATATTCAGCTAAGATAATTTAAAAAAAGCTGCTGAAGGTTGCATGCATGCACGTGACTTGGTCCTCAATTCATCCAACATGATCAGCTCCTGAACGACGTCGCTTGCTCCCAATTGACCAACCCTAATTGCAATTGCTGACCTTTTGACCTCCGAACCAATTTTACATGACATCGTGTCAGCCAAATTGATGGATTGAAAACCCGTTTTGATGCGATCTTTAAGACGTGTATAAATTTACATGTAGAACTATATAACATCTACAAAGTTGCAAAACGTCTTACAAGTTGCGATTACAAACTAAATAACATTTCATGGTCCAATCCAATTCACGTTTTGGAAAACCTAATCTGTACTCACACCCTTAGATATAATAAAAATACATATTTTCTCATTGACATTGGTAACCTGAATCTATATATGAAAAATAGATTCATATTTCACCTCCTTATTACACAAATACGAAGTAACCTTAATGAAAAAGACCTTCAAGATCTTTTGAGGCCTAATAAATTGAGGACGATTCCAAGGTAATTAAAAACATAAACAAGCCTAAAGAGCTGCAACTTTTGTTCAGTCCAAGGAGGATATCTAAACCAAAAATCCGTCAGAAAACTTCTCCTTGCAACAACTTTCTCATGGCTGAATGTGTCAAAGGAAAATTTCCCATGGTATCTCCCCATACCGCTTTCTCCCACCCCACCAAACGGAAGAGTGTCTACGGCATACTGTAACATTATATTAAAAAAATAATAATAAAACGATTAAGCAAGCATTTAAATGTTACATTCCACGTGTAATTAAAAAAAACAAAATTTATAAAAAATAATTGGATCTCTATACTAAGTCACTGTAAACGTTATAACTTACTTGGATGATAGTGTCGTTGAATACAATGCTTCCCGATGTGGTCTCAGATTGAAGCCTTTTCTTGAAAGCTTCATTTTTGGTGAAGGCGTAAATAGCTAATGGTTTTGGTCTTGACTTGATGAACTGAATGCTATCTTCAATTTTTTCCACCTGAAAAATATCACAATTAGAATCAAATTAATGAAAATATGAATAATGTAGATTTAATATATACCCATTTTATTTACCAATGAAATTAAATTAATTATTTGGATTCAGAAAATTTAGGGAAAAAAAAAAGAAAAGAGTTAACCCTAAAAGCAGTCAATCCAAATCGAAACATTAGTAAATTATGGGATATTAAATTCATTAATTTCTTACGGTAATAATTGGAAGCAAAGGTCCGAATATTTCCTCAGTCATGATTGTGGCGTCGAGTGGAGGATCCAACAATATTGTTGGCTCAACAAATCTGCGCGTTTCAATAGATGTAAGCTCAATAGCATGCTGACTATATATAGATTTCTCATTTCTAAAAGACAAAGATCATCCTTAACATGTTTGTACTCTTCCTGAAATGATTATCCAAATTGGATTTTCATTTATAATTTAAATAGTATTAAAAATAAAAATCTAAAGCATATGATAATTTAATGATAGAGGGACTATTATAGTAATAGATTACTATAACGGTTTCACAAAATTATTATTCTCATGTACCCAAAAAATAGTTCACATTGTAATTTATGATTTGTATAGAAAATTGTACAAACCATAATTTGCAATGTAGATTGTTTCTCTTAGAAGAAGGAAGTAATATAGTACCTATTGATATTTGAAACTACTGCTTGATTTGGATTAGAGATGGGCAAGAAGTTAATAATTGTGATGGGTAAAATGTTGAAGCAGGTAAATTACTTACAAGTTGGCTTCGTCAAATGAGCCTCCTTGGACAATTGAATCTTTAACAGATTGTTCATCTAACAGGCTCTTTAGTCTGAAGAAATTCTTTTCATTGATGATTCTTGAAATATTGCGCGTTTCTTTTGGGTTTTCTCCAAACATTGATAAGAGTGTATTCTTAAGCAGTTCTACCTGAAGAAATCACACGTTGAAGGGTTAAAAAAGGCCTAAAAATAACACTATCCTTCGTGCAAAGGTATAAGAACACATTCGTTATTATTAACATTGTGCTTGATTTTTCAAGAACTAGCACTTGGGAGCTAATATTGATACTTCTACTTTCGTTCTCAAAATTATTGTCTTAATTATTATTTTACTTTCGTAATAAACATGAGCAATCGTTTTAAATAAGAGCGTACCAACTTTTTCTTTCCCCTATTATATCTTCACCACAGTCCACAAGTGACAAACTAAGATTTTATATCCATCAAACTTTCGATCCAAACTGAAATTGAAATTAATTTGCTAGCCTAGATACCAAAGAAATGGAAACTGCACGAGATTATAAAAGATAAAAAAATGCAATATTTTAAATTGGTTTCGTACCAAAGTTGCAGCATACTTTTTCTCTGTAATAATGTAGTCAACTCCGATGCATGCTTGGCCGGCACAGGCGCCAAATTTTGCAGATAAAATCCGGTTCAATGCAATCTACAAGTTAGATATATTCAGCTTCACAATAATATTTGTGACACTTTCAATATTACAACTATATTCCCTTCATTCTTTTCTTTTTATATATATGTCTTTTACAAAATTCATCAAAAACAAGAAAAAATTCATTAATATAGTTAAAATACAACAACATCCATATTTATTTTTCAAATAACTCATCATAAAACTAATAAGAATTTATTATAAATATAATTTCATTTCCAATTCAAGGGTAATTTCGATAAAAAATGATCAAAGGTGCCTCAATTTGTGAAAGTGACTTCTGCTAATTCTCAAATGACATTTAAAAAGAGTAGAGGGAGAACTAATTAGTAGACTATATCGACATGTGTATGATCACTTCTTTATTAAGATTCGCTTATTATTTCTTCAGCACGGTAATCTTTGTTATGTAAATACGAGTTTTATAAAGATTTCACTTACATATAACATTAAAAGTATTGCCAAAGATCCAATCCGAACTTTATCATGCATATTTTACAAGGATTTGACTACCTCTTTGTCTCTTGAACTGGAAAAGGAATCAACAATTGTTGGGCACTTCCCACCCAACTCCAAAACGACAGGAGTTAGATGCTTAACCGCTGCCGACATAACTATACGTCCCACTTTTGCACTCCCTAGACAACCAAATTCAACATGGAAATTAGAATTTATGCGAGCTAATTAATCAGAAACCGAGATGATAATTGGCAATATATTGAGAAATCAAACTTCTAACCGGAGAAGTACAAGAGCTTTGATCCAAATATGAGATGATCAGTTTCTTCGTCCCAATAAAATTTATCATGATATTAGATACTCCCTCCGTCCTATAATTATTGTCCAATTTTACTAAAATGGAAAATTTTATTTTTAGTCAAACTTAACTATATTTTACCTTGAACAACCAGATATACCCCTACATAAATAATTGTTTAACCACTAAGATTTTATGGATAATGTTTTTTAATAAGGACAAATGTGTAACTTGATCCATAAAAAGTCAAATTAGACAATAATTTTGGGACAAAATTTTTTGGGCAAAGTGGACAATAATTATGGGACGGAGGGAGTATTATGAAACTGATATTAGATATTATTTCAGTTACACAATATTATCATTGAAAATGAGCCTAGTTACTACCTCCATTCCAAAATAAGTGTCATTCTACACTTTGCACATAGTTTAAGAAACCCTTAAATAGGGTAATAAAATTACTTGAATATCCTCAACCGACCCCACTAAAAAAATGTCCACCAATAGTACTAATTCTTTCGAGGGTAATTTTAAAAACTTTGGACAAAAAGTGCATTGAAATGTGAGAACGACACTTATTTTAAAATTTCTCCATTTTACTAAAACGATATTTATTTTGGAAAGGAGGGAGTATTTAATATCCGCATTTTGAAATACATATTAAATACATACTATTTAATTTCGCTAACTAGAAGTGACAACACACCTCTCATATTATCGATCACGGAATTCAAATCATACAACAACTAGGTACATTATCATATTCGCGGAATTCAAATCATGCAACAAACGTAATATGCGTGAAAGTTACTTTTTTTTTTAATGAGGATCGAACCCAAATTGAATCTCGAGAAAACCCTCTAATTTAATTCTCAAAACATAGTTAGAAAAATGTAGAAGAAAGAATTTGAATGGCATGTATACCTGTGAACAAAATCTTGTCCCACTTCAACTCCAAAAGCTGCTCTCCAACTGAAGAGCCACCTTCAATAACTTTGATGGCTTTATTATCCAAGTACTTCGGGATTAAATCAGCCAGCACCGCTGAGCTAGCTGGAGACAGTTCCGATGGCTTTAGCACCACGGCATTTCCTGCTGCTATTGCTCCAATTACTGGTTCCAATGACAAACCTACATATGCATATTTTGCATGAAATAATTAAAAGGAGTTGTCTTCCGCTGATTTATGTAACTAGTATTCCATCTCTCTCGTAATTATTGTTCAGTTTGACATTTTATGTTTAATACAATCTGTGTTAGAAATAAAAAATTGAAACCGAACAATAATTTTACGATAGAAAATGTATCTTAATTGTTATTTGATATAATGACATCAACAAAAGCATCGAAATGTTAAAAAAAAAAAATAGTCAATGAATGTACTACAAAAGAACCTCATAAACCGGGAAAAAAAAGTTTAGAAATAGGAGTGTAGTTATGGAAAAGAGAAATATCATTAATTTATGAAAGTAGCTAGCTAGGGAGCAAAGAGCAAAGAATGGTCCACTATTTAATATGTGTAGGTTGCATAATTGAGCTTCAGTCAATTTCAATTCTTTTATTATTGTTATTATTATTATTAGTAATTTCAAAGGTGATTGATCTCTTCCATGTGTGTTCCAGGTAAAATATAATTATCAAAATACGATGTTTCAACAAATTTTATAGCTAAAGATAAGCTTATAATTTCAAAGGTAAATGGTTTACCAAAGGGAAAATTCCAGGATGAAAGAACAAGGACAACTCCAAGGGGTTCTGGCACCAACTCAGCCTTAGATGGGAATGCAGCAAGTGGCAATTTCGCCTGAAAATCAAAAGAACCCCAAACCAAAAAAAGAAAGAAAAAAAAAATATCGTTATGCGTTCAGTGCCAAGTTTTACTGGATAATTAATAACAAGATTAATTATAAGCAGGTTTCAAGACAAACTTCATTTTGTTTTTTTTTTTTAAAAAATTGTATATCCATTTCTGGCATTCGAAATTGTTCCATTTCGATTCTTCTTTTTTTTTTTTTTTTTTTGCTTCGACACAACATATATAGTATTTCAAAATTATTCCTTTCATCCCTGCAGTTTAAGAATTCCGACTCTGGGGTCTGAATATAATTTTTGTCATATGAACAATACACAACCACTATAATTTTTGTACCTGATATATATATATATATATATATATATATATATATATATATATATATGAAGAGAGGATGACGAACCTGTTTACTAGACATCCACTGCTTCAAGTTTTCGAGGATGTAATTAACGGATTTGATCAATGGTCCCACCTTCAAAGCCAAAACCAATTAGTTAGGTTTTCAATTCAAGTCCCCATGATAATAATAACTTATCGCAAATGGCCCTACCTTCAAACATACTTTCCCATCATTTAAATAACTTGACGGAGTTCTAGGTTAGGTAAAAAAAGGATGCATATGAAAGAAACTATGACATTTTCAAGTTTCGATCCTTAATCACATCATGCATGATGCTCTCATAATTTGAGTTAAATTATTCATTTCTATAATATAATACTTTAGAAAATGATAGGTATAATGACTATATACAGTAAAAATAAATATTAACTGAGTTGACCCCCTATTTTATAGTTAATTTTTCGTAGAAATAAAATCTTTCTCTTAAAAAATTATATTTCTACCCGTTACTTATCAAAGACACATCAGTCACTATACTTTTTCACTGACTGTATCATTGTTCTAATACTTTTCTAGTTCTAAAAATTAGAGTCTAGTTTGTTAAATTATGTTAAGACTTATAAACATGATTTTGTTAAAAGCAAGAACGGAAAGATTAGTAAATTATACGACGAATATATAAAATACTAGGTACTTCAGTTTACAGTCTGTCGTCTTGGGTTTAATTAGGACACTTTACTTTCTTACATGTGTTTGCTAGTTATTACAAACATGAATGTCTATTTACAAGTACATATCATGGTTTGCGTCATTATCATCGTCATAATTAAGTTCATGGCAACAAAACCATGCCCATCAACTGAAGGCAAATGAATTGAAGTGATGGGCACACACGATAATTACTGCCTACTGTTTATATGAAAGGGAACTTTCTCAACATTAAAGGGTGGAAAATTGGCTGAACGACACCTTAGCTTTTATGGATTTGTTACTCTAAAAACGTCGTAATACAACTCAATCCAAGGCCTACCAATGTACACATTTATTTATAAATTCATTAAAACCACCTAAAGATTTATTCAAAAAAAAAAAAAAATGAAAACCACCTAAAGATTTAAATGGGATAACATATATAATATCTCACATCATGACAAAAACAAAAATAAGAAAACATTATGCACATTAATGAAAAGATATTAACGCAAATGCAATATAATTCTTTCAATGAATCTATTATGATGTATGGGAGCGAATTAATTTTCTAAGATTTTTTTTTATGTCTATGCACAGCGTAAATGCCATATTTGTTATACTGAAACAATGCATCATTTCAAGATGGTGGAATAAGTGACTAGGTGCATGCAAATGGAAGTAATACTCCCTCCACAACTAAATTGTCAATTTTCGATAATGCATCAGTTTTTATAGGTTTGAAAATGCAATACTTACAAAAGACAAGCAATATAACACAGTGCCCCCTTTTTTTAAAAATTTATACTAATTCTTATTCTTTGAATCGTGAACATTGAATCTTCTGTAAATTAAAGCAATAAAGAATTTGGATGCATACTCTGGTTTTTATGTGATGAAAGAAATAAATTACAAATAAAGATAACAAACTGATTTGTTGAGTAATGCAGTAATTTTTTTTTTTATTTATTTTTTTAGCCAATAAGAGAGGTAAAAGGCCTATATTTTTACTCGTATAGAACGGAGATACAAGACTCCGATTAAATCACGAGTCTCATTTTGGGACGGAATGAGTCAGCATTATTCGACTCTTTAATCTAGAATATCAACAAGTACCAACTTCCCAACAAAAGAACTAGCAGAACATGTAAAACACACAGAGTTCTGTCAGAGCAACCAAATCAGACCTAGACTCGGACTCAGACCATTAATAAGTCTCCTGAGATCCAAACTATACTGAATTCTGACAACAAATCTTTCACTTCTGAAAAGAAAATGTTAAATTAGCAGAAATCAAGAAACCACATTAATTGTATTCGTATGTACTTGATCATCAGGGGAAAAAAAAAAGGGTTTAAATTGGTGTACCTCATCTCTGTAAGCCTCAACTTTGTGTTTGCCTAAATCCTTTTCAAGTGCTTCAAAAATGTCCTCTTCTTTCTCCTTGAGCAAATTGAGTAGCCCTTTCAATTGGGATCTTCTCCATGACTGTTCATTGGTTTTCCCACTGTTGAATGTTTCTCTCAACTCTCCCCATTCTTCCTCCAAACTCTTCTTCATATCCACTTGAATTTTTGTATGCTTTTTTTCCCCTTTTAAATGAACGAGAAGAGGACTAATGTCAAAACCACTCTGTTGTTTACTCCTTATGAATGAGTGATGTTTGTTTACTAGACTTGTATATATACTAGTAGTTGATTTCCTTCAATTTGTTTTTTGTATTTTATTTTATATTTTTGTTTGTACTTTGCAGTCTTAAAATCCTAGGCTAGTTAGTTGCCTTGGCCTTTTTCATTTTCTCTCCTTTTTCCCCAGCAATTATGTTTGCTCAATAAAATTGCTTTTTCACTCCATTTCTTTAATTAGTTATTTTTTCTGTCTCGAAATAATTATTATGTTTCTTCTAACTAAAAATACTAGAGGGAGTTGGGTCTTTCAACTTAAGAAATAGAACTCCATCTTACCTTATTTTTTATGAATGTAATTATTTGATGAATTTGTCAAATACATGAGTTTGAATATTAGCTATAGTATTCATATATTTACATCTAACATTTATTTAATGATTGTTGTCGTTCTAAAATATTATCCAGTTTGGCGTTTTATTTTTAGACAAATTGCATTGAATGTGAAAATTCAAATGGCGATTATTTTAGAACATAGTGTGTATTACATTTGTAATTGAATGCATAACTCAAATAAATTTTTCATTGTTTTCTCCAATTAGGACATAAATTGTAACTTAAGAACCGTTAGTCTTTTAAAGTTTGCTGACAGAGATCTAGATGCTCGTCGGATTCCAATAATCCATAACGGATTCATTATAGATTTGAACTTAAAAGATCTCGTAGACTCGTAATCGTACGATTTCTCGCTATACATATTCTCATGTAAATTTTTATCTATATTCCCATCTATACCCTTTATAAATTTAGCTTAATCTAGATGTAATGTCCTCACCAGATCATGCAGCATGGCTGGATAGGGTACAGTTATATTAAATACTATCATCATAATATACAAAATGGCCGCAATTTGTTAGCTCTAGCTTTAATCATGTACAAATCCTGGTAGGATGAATGTTCATGTACTCTGAATTGATAAACATAATTAGGTTGGTAGTAAATGAGTTTGGTTTTCTGTCATTTTCTATTTTGAAGGACAACTAATTTTCATATGAAAATTGATTTTTGACAATGAAAGTTGATGCAACCAATGAAAATACAATCGATTGATTCATTGGCCAAAAATTGGTTAGAAATGGAGTTATTAATATTCAATTTTTTGTCACTTTGGTATCCAATTCTGACACGATAAGGAAATACAAATTCCGAAAGAATAGAATATAGTAATAAATAAAACTTCAAGTACGTAATGACTCTTTATTTATTCATGGCGTTACTCGAACAGTACGCGACTAGTTTTACGTAATATACATGATTAGTACAAATTTATGTATTCTTCGATCATCAAACTTTTAGATACAGTCGTAGTATTTCTACGGTTTTGTTAAATTCACTTAGTTTGGATAAAAAGCAGGTTAGTTGAATGCTCGACGGAAGGGAAAGGGATTGAGAAGGGAATAAAATGCACTTAGCTACAAAATTCAAATATGATACGCCTACAAATAAAGTTTCGTCTTCTCTTTTCCATGATCTCATTTCACTATATATGAAGAACCTTAATGTAAAGTAAAGGTTCCGAGCATCTTGTATGAAAGAAGATATTTATAGTTATTGAGTAAGAATGCATAAAAGGATCAAATTATTACATGAATACTCTATTAATCAGACTCTTACAATAGTTGTATACGGGATCCATTTTAAAGTAAAAACATCCATAAAATCACTTACAATAGTTGTATACGGGATCCATTTTAAAGTAAAAACATCCATAAAATCACCGTAAAATTTTAGTGTTGATATATTTGGTATTAATACTCCCTCCGTCCTAAAAAAAGAGTTCATATTGAGTTTGAAAAATTATTTTTTTTAGGACGGAGATTGTATATCATAGTTAAAAGTTGTCAAGTAATTGAGTGCTACACATGGATATTTCTACCCAAAAAGAATTACCAAGCCTTTCTGACAAAATAAAACGATGTTTCAGACAAGAAATGTAACCACACTGAATGATTGATTCAAAAGTAACAAAATATGATTCTATAACTGTACAAATAATCAATGGGAGGAAAGGAGAATTTATTGACTACCTAGTTGCAGTTTGCCTGTTCACTTCTGGTTTTTCTAATTAAGTAGTTTCAACTTTCAACTTTCAAGTGGGGCTTATAAATGTCTCCTTTCAATTCCATTCAAGAACCATCTCACCTCATCACACTTCATCCCATGGATCTGGTTGGACCATTTCACGTTGATGATCAATTTTGGTACAAATACAAAGGGACCATTGCAATTTGCCAATGGGGGTTTAGCTCTTTCCCCACAATGCATGGTACCCGTGATCCCTACTGTTCCTCTCACACACCAATCGATTAAAGTTGTGAAAATATCACGTTTATAATGAAGTCATTATTATTATTTTTTTATTTTATGCATGTATATAACTCTAAAGTTATATTATGACAATATTGCAAAAATATGTAACTTCAATTACATTATGCTGTATCACCGCCATACTTGACCAGATCTTTAGAGAATAGAAGTAATGGGTTCCCAAATACAAGTACAACGTGGGGTATCCACAAGTCACACAGAGTACTTGTAGTATGAAGATCAAACCTGTAATTGTTTGATCAAAACAATTAATTAAAAAACCTTTCACCTTGGTGTTTCTTCAACATAATAGTTAATTTATTTTCTCCCTCGGTTCCCTACAAAAATAAAATTATTTTGGGATGAAAAAATTATATGATCGACAAGTATAAATTATTCTTAGAATTTTTTTTTTATTACCTACTCTATATTACCATATCCTAACTCCTGACCCGGTGGAATTTTAATCCGGGCCTAACTCCTGAAAATCTTTAGACTTGAACCATTCTCACTGGTTTAGCATTCAATTTTCTCAATTCGAATACAAAATAACCTGCAAATTTAGGTGATGATAACGTTCATGTAATGTCATAATTAATTGAATGCTAACTTGATAATTGAAGGACATGAGGGGCATGCATTGCTTCACATTGATAATAACAATAGTAAATCTGCCGACTTTCCAACTAGAGAAAGCATCTATGATACATGTTCCCCAGGCCCCATACTGGTGAGTATCAAATCACATCTCTTTTGTACCGAACAGAATGCTTATCATATGCCATTTATCCAAAATATCCAAAAAAAAAGAAAAAAAGAAGAAGTTTCCAATTCCATGCCAAATTTTTCCACTTTTAACACCTCTAAAAAGGACAACTTAAATAAATGAAGCTTGCTATATTTTTTTTTCCTCTCCTTTTCTCTTTTCTTGGAGAGTTATGGTAAATCAAATTACATTGTAACCAAGAAACTAATCTCTTGTGTTTTGTAAATAGTTGCACTATGTAGTCCAGATATTAAAAAAGGGAATGTAGGGCATTGTTGTATATATGATACAGAGATAAATGAACACATTTGCACAGTGTTACTCATTTCCTCTATTTATAAATTGACCAATGAGAGGAAAAATCCTCATTCAAAGCCTTTTGCAAACAAAGATAGTATACTTACATATTTTACTCATATATATGGTCAAGCCTACGAAGATATTTACACGAAAATTCTAACTCAAAAATACATAAAATTCCTGCTGAAAATCACAAAGAAATTGACAAGAAGGGAGCATGAACAGCATTGACAACATACACTTGAAAACATGCACTGGCCTTCTCATTAACATCGCTGATAACAAGATTTCAAGAAATTTCAGTGGATAAAAACTCCAGTTGTGCCATAGACGGGGTTTATCTGTATTTGCAACCCAAATCCACAGTTTTGTTCATAAATTTGGTTGAACTAAGCACCTACTTAACGATTTTGGAATTTTCCAGTGCTGAAGAAGCCAACTATGCAAAGTTGTCTTTGGACGTACAAGATATCTCCATCTTTGAAAGATTTGGTTTTGTGTGATGGTGTCCTTAGAATTACAACACTGGAGAAAACATAGAAACAGGAGATATGATATACAAGCCCTTGTTCTTCTGTTGCATTATCTCCTGAAGAAAAAATAAAAATTAAAAAAAATCAGAAAGCCTGCGTTCACCTTTGCATTAACAAAGACTCCCACCTTATTTTACACGGGATTCGTTCCTTACATTTCTTATCGATCCATTTAGAAATTAGAATTGTATCACTACATATTTTCGCTTGAACACCATAATGATTTATTGACTTTCTTGATCCAGATATTAATGCTGGAGTCATAGGAAATAAGGAAAAACCAGTGTTGTCATGCTCGGACCGAAGCTCGACTCGGCATGGCCAAGGGGTCGATCGAATCGGGGTCGACTCGGGGCGATTCGGGGGATCGACTCGGATGACGTTATAATGACGTACTCCCTCCGTCCCATAATTATTGTCCAGTTTTATTAAAATGAAAGATTTTATTTTTGGTCAAACAAACTATATTTTATCTTAAACAACCGGATATAACCTGACATAAGTAATTGTTTAACCACTAAGATTTTATGGATAATATTTTTTTACTAAGAACAAATGTGTAACTTGATCCATAAAAAGTCAAATTGGACAATAATTTTGGGACAAAATTTTTTGGGCAAAGTGGACAATAATTATGGGACGGAGGGAGTAATAAATACTAATTAATTAATAATAATATTTTAATTAGAATTTTATAAATTTTATAGATATTTTTCAATTGTTGGAATCAAATTAATACTTCATAATTTACAAATGGGTTGCTATATAATCAAATTGAACTCATGAGATCGCATATGATGATGTCATTATTACTAACTACATAGTATTTAGCTTTTTAATATATTTAAAATTAAAAAGATTTAAACTTTATATCTCTTCGATTATATTATTATTAGTTGATATTGATATTTTTTAGTACTTAATTGTTACTCAAGTGAAGTAAAGTAATATACTAATAAAGTAATTAAGATAAATACATTATCATTTAGAAAAAAAATATTAAATTTAAAGGACAACTAATATACACATTAAGAAAAAGTACTCGAAGATTATTTTTTTAGTGACATATTAGTGTAATAATATAAATTTGTCATAAAATGAGGGAAGTAAATTTCTGTAGCAAAATTAAAAAAGATTATTCAAAATATTATATTTTGAGACTTGAAATTGAATATGAGGACTAAATATTAAATTAAAACTTTAAAAAGTACAAAAAAATGAAAATTGGTAATTTTGAACAAAAGAGAAAAAGTTGGCCTGGAAGACATTGGAAATTGAAATCTATGAAAAAATGTGCAATTTTTGGGTTAAAAGGTCAAAAAAACAAAAACCTCGGTTCGACCCGATTTTAGTCGATTCGCAACTTAATTGAGATTTTGACCGGTTTTCTTTTTAGCAATTTTAAGATTTGCTCGGCTCGGGTTAAGAGCCGGCTCCCGGTTTAACCGGGTTGACCGACCGGTCTGAGCCGAGTATGACAACACTGGGAAACACAGAACAGGAGAGACCGAAAAAAAAAAAAAGAAATAAAATGAAAAGATAACGAAATTTTTTTTACTACCCAATGAGAAAGTGAACACTAGTAATTATGATGGATACTTTACCAGTCGTTTGGTCTTTCTTTTGTGGGAAATGCAACTGTGGTTTGGTCAAAACAACAAAGCTAAATAATTCAATTCCAAAACAACCGTAGAGTTTTTGGTCACAACAATCTATACAACAACAGCTCTGGAATTCCTTTTTTTCTTTTTTTTCTTTTTCCTCTCAAATTAAGAACTCTTGCTTCCTCAAAATTCAAACTGCAAATGTTTACCCTTACATAAGGAAACCATTCTCACAGAATGTCACATGTGAAATGTCTATCCGTTCAGCTTTCAACTAAAGCAGCGGATATCTCTGCACATGACTGCATGGGGTGCGAGTCGAGCCTCCAACCGCCATGGTAGAGCACAGGGATCTTACAGCTTCAGGGCTTTGCTTGTTCACTCAACCAAACATATACTGAAAAGGTGAGGTCAGCTAGCAGCAGCTAGGCTTCTATCAACCATGGAAAAATTTTCGCGAACAGACTTAGTTGTCGCAGACTTTCCTGAAATTCAGTAAAATTAGCAGCATAAATGCACAATTCACTTCAGATGCAAAAACAACAGAAAATGAGCGACTTTAGCATGTGACAATGTGTATGTGATGTTATTATAGATTAGATGATAACTTGATAATTCAAGTGCTTAAGTGCAACGCATCTCACTTTGACAATAACAACTCTGTTGATGTTTGAACTAGTAACCATCTACAATACACCTAGGCCCTATACGGGTGAATTTTCAAATTATGTCTCATTGTGTCCAAACAAATAAAGTAGTTGTCAAATATCTGAAATAAGTGTTCCAGTTTCATGCCAAATTATTCTTGTTTTAACCCTCGAAGGACAAAAAGAATAAATGAAACTCCCAAGATTATGAGACAAAAATTGGGTAATGTATGGGATAATCATATGAAGCGAGTAAAAATCACAGATAGTTATCTTCTTACTTTCATCTTTCCCCATTTTCCTTTTACTTCTCCATAAGAGTCGAATAGGAGTGCCTGCATATCCTGCACCTGCTCTTAGTTGCTTTTCCATGTAACGACGATAGGTCTCAGGAAATAGCTTTGCATCATTTACAAAGAAGACAAATGTAGGTGGTCTGATCGCTGCCTGTGGGGAAAAAGATCAGACATACATCAATGCATTTTGCTGACTCGCACAATATATTAGAATGAAACCAATGTACAAAGATCAAGCTAGTTCATTTTAGGAAAGGTTCTTACTGATTGAGCAGTTACCCTACATGGAACATATTATGATACTGGACTACGCTAAATCCTAAGAATCAATTGGATACATAAATTCAAGTAGAACCACTTCAAAATGTTGTGTAGTGGGTCTCAAGAGGCAGAGAAAGAAAAGCTACAGTTTGCAGATTAACCCTGTATTCCTTAACCGGGGCATTCTTACATTGTACATTACATATCATAACCCTTTTTTTCTTTTTCTTTTTTTTACTTTACGAAATAAAAATAAAGGTTCTGGAATGAACTTTTACTGACATGGAAAAAAAAAAAGCATGAACAATGCCAGGATTGTATGTGTGCACATACAAATGCAAAAGAAAAATGGATGAGATACCTGTGTGCAATAATAGAAACGTCCTCTTCTGCCACCACGAGTCCTGGGAGGTGGTTTAAAAGCAACTGCTTCCTGGACTAATTGATTTAATATAGCAGTAGTTAATCTTCTCGATCTCTCTTTCTGTACTGTTGCCGCAACATCAATTATCCTAAAAGAATCCAATAATTCAACTAGCTTTAAGGTTTGTCCAATGTTTAGTAAAGTTAGTCAGCTAGATTGTTTTTCCCCTTTAAAAGGTAGTTTCACTCAGCAACGCAACCAAGACATTTAAAGAGAGCTAATAGAAGTTGCTACCGGGAATTATAAGTATTTACAGCAGTTCCACACTAAGGTTTCACGTTGCACAGCTTTTTAATATGTGAAAGGATCAGACAGAAATTAAAGTCATTTGAAGATTGTTTAATGTTTATCACACTTTATATGGACAAGCATTTGCCCATGAACTGCTAAAGGCTACAGGAATACAGAGCAAAGGAAAATAATAAGCAAATTATAAACTTGGTCTAATCAGCAAGTACAAGCATTCTGTATTTATATAACAAAAATTTCAGATTTGCACATTACAATAGTGGTCAATTTTGATGATGATCAATAGGCTTTAATGCCAGAAAAATGATCGCAAAATTTAAAATAGATAGTTGACAAACCAAACAGAAGAAGTTTTAAGCAGAACCTATGTTATTGAGATTTGTAGAAGCACATCCTATACCCTATATGGTTGTGTCAAGTAAAGTTAAAATAGAAAGTAATTTGTTTCTTTTTTTGGGATTAACCAGCCAAAAGAAAGTTGACGGTATATGAATCAAAGTATCAGACTAGTAAGTACCAAAATAAGGATAATTAAAATGAAAATGCTGGGACGGATGATTAGAGCAAATTAGATGAGACATAGCCAGAGTAACCATATTACAAAATGTAGATAAGCCCCCAACAACAGAGAAGATAAGATAACCATCTAAGATTGAAAGAATATATGCAAGGCGACCTTTAGATGCTACAGTAAGTGCGTAGCAAACAGGGATCATTGACTCAGTTTAAAAGGGAAAGGAAAGAACCCAAGACAGTTACAAAAGAGCATCTAAAAAGGACCTTAATGAGAGTACGTGCATTCATATAGTTCAACCAAAATAGTGAGTTGAGGGATTTAATGCTCATTGAAATCTTTTTTTAACTTATTCATTTTTTAACCGGTACAAAGTTTAAAGACCTCATTCGCAATAGTTTACACAGAGGCACATAATTCAAGATACGCCATCAAAATAAACAGGTTACGATCCTTACTTGTCAACACTATGTCCAGCTATTGCGGAAGAGTACACAACAGGTGCCCAGCTAAGAAGACGGAGCTTCTCTCTGACATCTTGCTCATAATAAGTCGATGTTTGCTGATTCTTGTTTGGAATAGTGTCCCATTTATTAACGACGATAACACAACCTTTTCCTTCACTCTCTATTCTTTCAGCAATCTTGCAATCCTAATTAACCAAACAACATTTCTTAGCTTCAGAGAAGTATAGAACACAAATAATTTGTGAAGAACACCATGCAACTCATTTATATGTCAAATATCTATCAAAACGATGAAAAATAACACATATTTATGCCAATATTCTACTGAAACAGTGAAATCCTCTCTTCTTTTTTGTTTTTTTTTTCAGTAAGCAAAAATCCTTTTCAAAAATTAGTCAGAGGCAACACAGCATTAAGTGAAGAGCCATTCATCCTTGAAATTGAGAAATCAATTGCTCAAGTATCTCTCAAATCCATTGACATGACAAGTCAAGGAACCAAAGTTTTGAAAGTAAACAAAACTGGAAACGAATCTGCCAGAGCACGTTTTGTCTGTGGCTTTTGATCTTTTCAGCCACCGCGTGGAGAAACTTATGCATTCATAGCCTGGAAAAGATCTTTGAATACATTGGTTTCTCAAAATGTTCACATTTCAATGAGAATTCAATCTTAGAAATGCTGCTCACTTTTCTGCTCATGATTCTAACTAGAAAGGGGTCTTAATGGAAAGCAGCAACAACGATCAGACAAATACTAAAGTTGACAACTTAACTGTTACTCGATGGTTCCACGTACAAGTGTACTAGATAAAAACTTACGTGCCACTGAACGGCACCAGGCTTCCTCATTAAATAGTTTCAGCAGTTCCTTAGTTTTCTGCCTCATAACACTTCATATTCTGTTAGATATTCATTTCTCTCATGAAATAATAGTTCGGTGGGGACAAAAGGTGAAAAAGGGACACCGCATAAAGTGACAAGCAGATCAAGCAAAAAGGATCAACAATCCTCCTTTCCAATATCACATCAATGGGATTCCACTTTTGCTCGATCAAAGTGGAAAGGAAGCCCCCTTGTTGACCACCAAAACAACACGCATAATCCATCATCAATGCAACATCTTTCTCCTAACTATATTAGAACCCAAAACCCAACTTAAGAGACTCCTTCTCAACCTGACATGTGGCAATGACAAATCATATCCTACATGTCAAACTTTCACACATAGATCATAATTCACTGTTTTCCTTTTTATTAGGTGATTTGATTTATCCAGTTTCCAATTTTAACCCACCTAAACAATCCAGAATTTTTAGAATGGGGAATAATTCAAGAGTTAATTTTCGTGTTATCTTGTAACAGAAATTAATTAGCCAAATCACAAACACAAGCTTCCTGCAAATGTCAGCGGCACACTTTCAGCAACAAAAACTTTTGCTAACTACCCAAAAGCTGGTATACACAGCAGGACCTGGTCAAATGTAAAGGAACACATTCTAGTGCCATCAAATAGTACGATTTCAAACTACATAAGACACATTTCACTTTTGACACTAACACACTGTAATGATTGTTTTAAAAGCTTTTATTAATTTTGGAACCTATTAACAGAATTCTTCCTTGACAGGGAATTTCCGAAGAAGAACTTTCTTTCCTTCAGAACATTAAGTGATCACCTTTGCAATACTGGTGATAAGAGGAAAGATACTAAAATAGCAGAACATATTGGGCGATGTACAGCAACACATTTCAAGAAACTCATAGATCGACAAATACTTATCACCTATGTTACCCGGACTCGGCTGTTTAGGCTTCTGTACCCGTGTCGACACGAGTCAACACTGACACGGTGTGGAATCCGTGCGGGATCCGGTCAGCCGAATTTGGGTGCGTTGACTTTGCGGCAAGCACCATTGAAGTACTCCGGCTGGTAGTTCCGCCTTTTATTCTCAGTCATCATTAAGGCAGATTGAGGGAGAAGAGATCCAGCCATTAGGGGCTGAAGTGATTGGATTTTACTTTGGTCAGCGGCGAGATGCAGAGCGGCCGAATTTGAGGAAGAAGAAGACTCCCAGTTTATAAAAATTATATAAATTGCAGAGTTGGTCCATATTCTTAAAAGTAACCTTTAAAACTCCCCATTTTTCCTAAAGTGCTACTTATTGGTTTCTTGTTAGCAGTTTTGCTCCCTCACTTTTACAAAAACACAAACTTTTCCCCAATTTGAGGTTTTGTACACTTAGTCAATTTTAATAAGTTAAAATAATATTGTCAATTGTAATCTAGACTAGACTAGATTGGATACTGAATTACCGACACATGAATATAATGATATAAATGTTAAACTAAAAGATCTATTTAAACCACAATTATATTAAATTAGTTAGTTAAAGAAGTATCCCCGTACCCATACCCGTGTCCAAATCCATACCCACGTATCCTAATTTTATAAAATTTACGAGTCCGACACTTAGATCCCGTGTCGTACCCGACACTCATACCCGAGTCCGGGTAACATAGCTTATCACAAGTAGCATATGGAGTACATCTGTAAATGAACACTTAATTTGTGTATCAACTGCATAATGTGACAAATAAAGAAAAGAAAAAAAAATCATTAGACATTACAAATACTGACATTTGAGATGGACTACATTTTCATTGGCAGAATGAAGAAATGCCACAATTAGCAGTGACATGGCAATTACTACAGTGAAATGTAACCAAAACTATAAAACTTACTCACGGTGGCAGCATTTATGTAGGGAAGCACAAAGGCATCATCAAAGAGCAGTGCCCCAAAAATGGGGTAGAAATTCAGACTTTCTTAAGTAGACACGAACAGCAATTCTTTAACTAATGAATTCTAGAACGTTTTCATGGATTACCTGTTCAGTGATACAAGCCAGAGCTTCAATTACGAGAGCCACTACATCAGACCTGCGGACAGCACGGAACGCACGATTTACAGATAAAGCCTCCGTGTTACTCTTAGATGAAGCCACAGCCGCCCTCTTTCTGATACCAGCTGTATCAATCAGGCGAAATTTCTACAACGACAGAAGCAATAAACAGATTTCAAAGTAGAATCAAATTAATTAGATAAAATGGTATCAAGTTAATCAGGAAAAGAAGGCTTTGAAGCAGTTGCTGTACTTGACAAAGTTCATAAAAGATATTCACGGTTATATCCAAACCAATCAAATAAACAAGACACCAAATTTAAGAAATTTCGATATGCCTGAAAAATCCATGTCTGCACCCAGATTTCATGATCTACATCTCTCCTGGTTCGGAGGAACAATATTACTCTTCTATATATATTATAGAGAATGTTAATTGTGTGGAAGTGCAAATCAAGACCAAGTAATATCTATTACTACATAATGTAGCTAATAGAGAAAGCAAGTAAAAACAAAAAAAAAAAAACATTATAATTCCATATTGCAACAGAGGGCAGTGGATATCGTTAAGGAAAATGTTCAAAACACTCGATAACATGAAAAATGTGGCAATTAGTTTTTATTTGACCTGCCAAAGCTTGCACAAGCACCCAGCTTGGACTTTGCAATGGCATTGTCATATTGACATACAAGATGCAAACAAACACCAACCATATAAATACTTCATCTCATCAAACAACATGGGATTATTCACGTCCCAGAGATAGAATCACAATTTTTTTTTTTAATTAGAACCCATTATATTCGATGTGTGTTAATGCTAAATGTAGATCATCATCAGTTCAAGAAAAGGACACAAGTTAAGATGGCATGCATAGGCCCCATTATGGTGCTTTACCAAGCATAAGATGTAGATCATAAATGGCATACTCTCACTTTTGGAAGCATATTTAGTGTGTAAGGAGTACATCTTTCAGGTGCATGTTTATATGTTACATCACCCAAACTGAAACTAACCACACGAGATGCTGACTAACCTGTCCATCAGGTCCTGTAAACTCTGTATCTATAGCATCGCGAGTAGTTCCGCTTACTGGGCTAACAATGGTTCTGTCTTCTCCAACTAAGGCATTCAGGATGCTACTTTTACCAACATTTGGTCGACCAACTATTGCAATTGCAGGGACATAATCTTCTTCCTCTTCGATATTGCCAGGATCCTACATAATCGCATCCCGATCAATCAACATGTTAGACATTTCTTTTGTTTCTATAGTATATTCAACAGATGAATCAAGGAGATTTTACAAAACAAAGTTCTTAGCCATGGAGGTTTCCAACTAAACACTACAATAAAAACTCAGAAAAACTGTCCTCTAAGAAGAATCGAGCTGTAGCCTAGAGAGAATAAAGAAAGAGAAAGTTTGGTAATGGAGAATTTGGTTAGATTTTTTAATATTTTATTTTCTAAAACCATTGACATTGAACTTACAGTTTTATTTTGAAGAATCATTGGTAATTCTAATGTAGCCAAAACCAAAAGTATAGGTTTTATAATTATAAACCCTGTAGTTAACCCTACTTCAGTTGCTGGGCAACTCTTTTTTTTTTACATGAAAATTATTGAGGCATATGTGTTTTTCATTTTGCTGGTGTTTTCTGGGCTACCTGCTTCATTTGACAGTCCATTTAGATCACTTCAAATCCAAGTTTTGTTGTTTGGAAATGATGTGATGTAATGAGTTTTCTTGATGGAGTCAATGGTACTGCTTAAACCTTTGAGTTTATTTAGAGGTGCCAATAAATCCATTATGGAAACCCTGTCTAGAACAACATACTTCCCAAGCTAAAGACTCAAAATTTGTAATGTGCCTTAAAAATGACAGCAAATTAAGCAGGGAACCCAAAAAAAGACATTGTAGGATGGAAAAGCACAATTATCATGCGACAAATAAAGTCGCCCAAAAACTGAGGTGCTTCCAGATGAAAAAGGAGAAACCACATATCGAGCCCATCTTGACATGCATGGACTTAACACCAAACAAACTTAACGAGATAAACAGAACTTTTAGAATGCAGGACCACCGCAGAATGTAATTTTGAGATGAATAGGAATTCCCTATACATAAGTTGTGAGCTCAGATTACTTGCAACATGTTGAAACTAAAGATGGGAACATAATACAAGTCCAATGATTCAGAAAGACGTAGTAAAATGACCTGGCCTTGAACCAATGCAACCTTCAACTTGAAAAGCAAAACGCACCTCAACTTTCTTTAGTCCTGAGCAAACAAGATCAAGGAGCTCTCCTGTCCCAGTCCCCGATATAGCAGATATTGGAATTGGTGAGAACCTAGTAGATGAAACAAATACGGTTTAGCTCTCAATGTATAAGTACAGACAAAAAAGTGTAGAAATTTTATCCATTGTTCGCAAATTACAATCATCTCATGTTTAGCCTATTTAACTTGTTCTTCTTTTCAATGTTAAACCTTTTTACTTCTGGTATATGTCATGTTTTCACAATAATTTCCTGACTTCCACATTATTATTTGTGTAACAATTTCAAGTACTAAATACTGGTTATTTGATCATTTCTGTGGCCTTGGCAGAGTTACAGAAGGCTGAATGTAATTTAGAAAAACCTCAAGGTTTTATCTAAACGATAATATACAGAAAGTTCCTCAAGGTTCTTTGTGTGAATGTAATTAAGGTTTTATCACATATGGAGAGAAAGGAATTACAGACAATTCAGGAAACAGGAAACTCTATCAACAAAGATTGTCGAAATGATCAAACAGGAGGTGACATGGAAAACACAGTTTCATTGTAGAAAAGGGAGTAATGATGATATCCGGTATCTTGATAGGCTTGGAACTGTAATTAGGAAAACAGTTTTGTAATAGGTGTTGTACAGCCACTTTTGATAATCAATACAAGTTTACAGGTTTTTACCCAAAAAAAAATAAAATAAAAGAAAAGGCAGAACCTCAGGGAAGGTTCAGTTGAGAAAGTTGAGATCAAATAGTCATAACAAAAACCAAGAGTAAGTTCATCTCACTGGAGATTTAAGCAAATAAGAACTTGCATGCAAGATGTCACAGTTACTTAACCAATTGGTACTGGAATATTGAAGACAATTTAATAAACCTGATAATGGCTTTATGAATAGAGAAAACATTATCAGTAAATGATGCCAACCAAATCAAATAACAAAGTGACAACCCTGCTGTTTGGTGCTCAATGTAGAGTCCAAATGTAGAATCCAAGAAAAATCTTTAAGGTCGACGGGATGAATGAAGTGCAAAATATGAAGAGTCCTCAAACACAAAGGGGGGAAATTATAATAAAAAACATAGGAAATATGAACATTACTATCTGATTGTTCAAATATTACTACCAGTAAAAGATATAGAGCTAGTAGACAATATAAAGAAACGAATGATCATTATTTTTTCCCGCACAAAATCACATGGTTATTTGAGGACCCTATAGGAGTAACTCTGGAAAGAGGAGAATTTTAATATAATCTCATTGCTCGTGGAATTAATAAACCTATAGATGCAGTTATGCATATGCAGGTACAACCCGAAGGACTTCCATTACATTTTAGGAAGACATGGAACATCTAATCAAAGAAATCCCTAAATATGGAAAAGATGACCTCGGTGAAAACTTAAATGACCGAGTGGGGGATGGCAAATGAGGCGAGGATGTCAAATGAGGCAAACACAAACGTTCTCCGGCAATTTCAATCAACGATTATATTTAGAGATACATAAAAAATACCCAAAATGATGAAAAAAAAAAAAAAACAGATTTAACGCAAGTGTATAAGAGATTAAATAAGAATAATCAATCAATGAAACATCAATAGAGAAAATACTTCTACACCAGGTTAAATGAAATCACATAAGGGAAGAAATAATTCTACAAGAAGTTTAATGAAATAACATTCTTATTAAGATTATTATCCATAGTTACATAATCCTAGCTTTGGAGGTAGAAAAGCATGAAAATAATAGGAACGACAACGAGTTGATCCCAATATTATGCAAGGTTAGCCACGGAAATATATTGAAGAAGTTGAAAGAACAAAATAGAATAAGGTTTGAACATGTGCACCGGATTCCTTTCAACAATGCAAATAAAAAAATGAAAAATTATTCACTCATATTAAGGGAAGCAGAAGGACCCAAAAAGAAATATCACAAAAATAACATGTCTGTTTGTGCTAGTATGAACGAATAAAAAAATGAGTTTCATTAAGACAGTGGTGAAATTGGATATGACATGCATATTCAATTTCACTTATTGGTCGGATGACCTAGTAGTTATTGAAACAAGAAAGTGACTACTACTTTAACGAAAATCTTCCTTTGGATCTACTCAAGCTGTTCAGGAAATAATGAAATAGACAGACCTACTAAATCTGTAACATAATTACATCAATAAGCAGTATGACTAGTCAGCACTCAACATGCAAGGAAACAATGCAAGGGAACAAGTTCAACTCACCCTAAAGACCAAAAGTCTGATGCCTGCATGAGACCCTTGCGTGGAGATTCGCACTTGTTCACGGCAAGAATAATACTCTTATGCGAGAACTTCTTCCGTAACCAATCCCCTATTTCGACATCAGCAGCTGTGAGGCCTGCCTGTGAAAAGTTACTGGCATTATCACCCACATGAAAATGAAAACAATGTAAAACAATGCACAATCAGCAGCTGCAAGCGAGAGTTCGATTAGGCATAAACATCAAATCCAAGCATTTGCAACAACTCCTTCAGCAGAAAACAACAAAATGATGAACATTAATTTTCATTTTAACCAAACTATAGTCATACCTGGCCATCAACAAGAAAAATTATGACAGCTGATTCTTCCACAGCTAAAGAGGCCTGTCTTTCAATCATTGAGGGCATCTTTGCAACAGCTGCCTCCCTGGAGGCAAGTGGAATCCCCTCCATGCCAATAGTTGTTGAGATAGCCAATTCTTCCATAACATCATCTTGTGACTTCGAAATCGTAACAACTCCCCCAGTATCTACTACCAGAAACTCATAATCACCCCAAAATGATCTTCCATACAAGCGATCCCTAGTAACACCGGGTTCATTAACCACGATAGCCCTGTTCCCCTGCAAATAGTTGATTCTCTTCTAAGAACATGGAAAATGGGAAATGGAAAATAAACAGAATGTCTCTTAAACGAAGGAATAAAACTTGTTGAAATCGTACAAGAGCATTTGTAATCATTGAGGACACTTTTCTAAACCACGTTTCTAACCAGATAGTGGACAAAGGCAGAAGAACAACAAAGAAGCAGAAAAGGTAACTTTATGGTACATACCCCAACAAGGCGATTGAACAGAGCTGATTTACCAACATTCGGCCTTCCAACAATTGCCACCCTTGGAAGGAGATGATCAGGGATCTGCACATGGAATTCCCTACATTAGCTCCACCTATTTACAACATAAGTATCAAACAATCAGTTTCAGGAAGTAACCTCTGAAGTACGGACCTAATGCGACTAGATCTTAACGAAATTTATTCTCAACAACCGGCTTACTTAAGAAACTGGCATTTCAAGATGATTTTAAACTCGCACTGAGTAGTTAGAAACTTCAAAATTTCCAGTTAGTACATAATTACACCCCTACTGGTCTTCGCAATAATACATCTTTTTTCAACCTGCATTAGATTGCAATTTGCATCAAGCTTGAACATTTCTGTGGCAACTAAATAATTAAGGATGGGAGACGCTCTCCAAGGAGCTCGACAAAAAAATCTCAGGACTAGGAGAAGGAATACCTATTCAGAAAGGGAACAGGTCTCATATATTGGGTTTGATGCATGCCCGGTATCAGAAGGTTAAGGAAGCTATATGACTGATTGCAGTAAACTCATACACACACTAATATGTTCTATTGGTTGTATCACGATGAATCCATGCTCATCGAAACGGCTTTTCATCAATATTATCTATTCTTTTTTGCTCCTGGCAACAATGTCATTCAGAAACAAAACCTATGGTAGAAGTTCAAGGCAGGTGTGCGGAAACTAAGAATATAGGAAGGAAAAAAATTCAAAACAAGACTTATTTCAGAGAAATCCTTTAAGTCACGTTGTTCAATAATGTAATAGCATGTTCAAGAGAATCTGCTTAAAAAGTATCACAATATAAAACTAGTAACTTAATTCAATCCCGTTTTGTCCAAACATCAACCTGTTTAAAATGTTCAGTCCCATCAAAAAAAAAAAAAACAAAAACAAAAACAAAAAAAACAAAAATAAAAAACAAAACAGAATAAGAAACCAAACAAACTGATACTCTGGACTAATGTTGGGATGTTACTGACATTTTTCAAGGTACTTTTGCCCTTTTTCTGTTTCACACGAGCATCCTTCTCACCAGCGGTCTCATATTCTGAAATTAAAAAAGTGAAAAGAAATGAAGACCCCAACAAAGTAAGAACAGCATACAGAGCTGAAGTAGTAACAACAAGTTTAGGTAGAATACTCAGCAGTAGACAAGACCAGGAAGGAGTATAGTATGAATTTCACCACGAGACAATTCATAGTTTCAATTTGAAAAATCAACATGTCCACTTAGATTTCCATGTTCAGAATAGAATAATAAAAAATACTGTATCAGATTTGGCTAGATGACCCAGGATATCATAACTCTCAAGCCTGCAAATTCATTATTTCTCAAGCTCAATCCCCAAACCAATCATCCCACGAAGAGGACATTTCAGCTATAATATAGGTAAAAGTAGAGGAAGTGATATGAATACGTATGCAACTTTGTGTTTCTGCAAACAAGTAAACAAAAAGATGTAGGGACAATATTAATGTTGATTAGATGATTAAATACCGATAGAACCTGCAGTTTTAATTACCCTCTCTCCCTTGATCACAAAAGGTTGTACTAAATATTGCAAAATATCTGTAACAACCAAAATCATCCACACCGGCCATGAGGTTTGAGAAAGTCCGAATTTTTTTCTCTCTTTATAAGTATCAGTAAAATCAACTACAGAAGACTTTTACCACCACCAACATTTCTCTTCGTTCACTTTCAACTCCTTCAACTGTTTTCATTCTACATAGGTTTCATTGCTACCTTTTCTTATACGTTAAACTAGCTTTAGATACCTCATGAACACCGTTTCCACCAAACAACTCAGTTTCATCAATGTTATTCACACGAGCTAGAAGATGCTTAGGATTGTATCACAATGATCCAAAACAAATTTTTTACAAATTCTTCATCACACCTTCAAAAGGATTCTGTAACATCGTTAATCACAGTAAATAAGATTCATATCTTTAAGCCTCGTCATTTACCATCATTCACAAATTTTCCAGGAACAAAAAAAAAAAATCCACAGCTATCTATCCTAATTATGTACCTTTCAAATTTCAATCCCAAAAGCAAAAATAATAACATCACTGAACCAGCAAAGAACAACTCATACAACCTAAATTCTCAATTGCAAATTCATGAAAGCATTGATTATCAAGATTAATCAATTACCAGATAAAATGAGAATAAGTACGAGTAATACCAATGGCCAATTCTCTGGATAAAGCATCCGACAGTTCTTTAACAGCGAGTTTAGCTTCCTTCTCAAGAAAATCAACATCAACGCTCTCGTACTCATCAAACTCCCCTTCCAATTCAGAGTCCGAGACCTCCGCTTCCAGCAAGTCCTCCTCTTCTTGAAATTCTTCACTGTCACCGTCAGAGAAGCGCGAATTGCGGCAGATAAGGTTCCGGCGACAACGGCAGGCAGTGATACCGCGGCCGGCGATGGCTGAGGGAGTGTGGAATGAGAGATTGGCTCCGGGTGTGGAGACCTTCAACGGAAATGGTGGGAATGATGAGAAATGGTTGGTTTTAGAGAGAGGAAATGAAGTCCAGAGCTCGAGTAACGACATCGAATATAATGGTCGGATTGAAGAACGCAGGAGGAGAGCAGACTTGGCGGGAGGGGTTTATCTGGTGAGAAATATGGGTTTATGTTTATCTTTTCCTTTATCCTTTTCTTTTTCTTTTTCTTTTTTTCGTTTTCTTTTGGCATGACAAATTTGTTTTGTCTCAAAAAGAAATTCTCCCCTCCGGTCCATGTTATATGAGATTTTGATTTTGTTTTACGTTTAACATAAGATGTCTTTTTAATTAAAAAATGAATCTTAAAAATATTTTTTCATATTCGTTGTATTCTCCTAATTATTATGAAATATTTTTAAATTTTTTATTCAAATTAAAAAGACATCCTAAGTGAAATTTAGGACGAAATCAAAACACCTTAAAATAAGGACCGGAGGGAGTACTGCATTGAGTTTTAAAATATAGTACTATTTCTATGTTTTAGTACAAATCTCAAGTTTTAATGAGTATTTTTATTTTTTTTTTGAGACAGAGGAAGTACCATTTTGGATTTTTTTTTTTTTATTGTTACTAGCATTGTCTCATCATGCATTGCCTTATATTTACATTAATTTAAATTATTTTTTTTAATTAGAAAAAAATAATTTTAAAAGAAACAAAGTAGACATTAACCGACACACAGAGAGTGTAGGATTTTTCATTGTATTATTTTTTTATTTATTCATAGTGTTGGAGTATGGTTGTTAAGAGTATGCAATTCAAGAACATTCAGTCTTCATAGGCTTATTTCTTAGATTATGGTTTTTTTATTTTTCAATTACAATTTCTTTTATGTAGCACTATTCCTATTGAAATAGATAAGAATATATTATCATAAATACGTGTATATTCAATATCTTCTTAATTTCATGATATAGGAGTAACACTATGCATTTGTTCTAATAATAAAGTATGTCATAGAATTCATGTATAATTTGCTATCGTGTTCAATTTTTTTACATATTGAATAAGACTTGTTAGGTACAAATAAACATATAATAATTTATAGTTGAAACTCCTATCTACAATATGTAAATATAATATGGGTGGGAGGGTTGGATTGGGTGGTTGGGATGAGGGATGGTTGTTATTAGGAGGTTAAAATTTTTTATTCTCGCTGAGTCTATCTAATTTTTTTGGAAAAAAAAAATGTAAAGATAGTATTTTCTTAAAATGAAGTTTTATGAATTCCTTTTAATTTATTGTATAATGAATGACATATTAATGGAGTTTGAATATAATGATTATGGGATGTAATATGACTGCAGTTAGAAAATGGTTTCGAGTACATGAATACAGTAACATGTATTTTTTCAGAAAATACTTAAATTTAAAATAAGTCAGAATATTTATATCAATGATCTATGATTGAAAAAAAAATGAGAAATACTAAAAATTATTTTAACTGATTTTATTGCTAGACTGACTTCAAATGGACTCCTATTTAGTGCATGAATCATATAAATTTGTTAGCACAACTTGGGGATCTATTTCTTCTAGAACAATAAAAATCACCTTATCTAAAGGCTACACAATGTCTAATTGTCTTATAGTCTTTTATACTTTTGAAATAATCTTTTATACTTGTATAATATTGGAAAGTCTTATGGAGTTGTACTTGTATTCCATGTAGTTTTATAAATAAATTGCATACTAACATCGCGAGGTACCACTGTTGTCAACCCAAAAATAAAAATTATAAATTGTTTTATTTAAAGAAATAAGACCAGAATGTGTATTTATAAGGTCTATTGCTGAAAAGTATTCCCTCTGTCTTATAAAAATAGTCCAGTTTTCAAAGGTACAATTTTTTAATTTTAGTCAACTCAATCAAGGTACAACTTTTATTTATACCATGAACTTCCGTTTATACCCTTATCTTCTCTTACGGTCAGTTGTTCAAATTTTGCTACACTGAAATATTTCTCTTCCTCGCCGGAAAAATTCACTGCCGCCACTCAATCCAGCCGACGACGGGAGATACATAAACATTAAAAATACCCACCCTCATGTCAATACCTTTTACCTTCTCATCATTTTCTCTCTGACGAATTAGCCGTAAAAATAACAATTTTCCAACATATAAAATCAGAGTAAAAACAAACTATGTAGCACCATCCATCATCCACCTCCCGAAACAATAAAAACAATAGAAATAGTTTAAGAAAAAGAATAAGAAAAAAGAAGAAGATTTTAGCAATTGATGAATCATCTGCTCTATAATTGATATGGCAAATCGGTTGGTGCTTTGCTTTTTGGAGTTTTTTCTAATTGATGTTGGTGAAAAAACAGAGCAACGAATATTGGCTAACAGGTAAATAGAATGTCAATTCTACGGCGACAAAGAAGAATTGGAGGAGTTACTTGCGGCGGCGGCGGCGGCGGCGGGAGCGGCAGTGCACGAGGGAGCTTTGGCCGCATATGGAATTGGATACTCACTGGTCAGGTTTTAATTTGACCGTGGATTGTCATAAGGATAATCCAGTTATTTTAATTGAATTTAATTTTGACTTTATGGAATTGGACTATTTCTTGGGATAATTTTTTTTTTTTTAATCAAATTTGACTATTTTTTCGGGACAGAAGGAACAATAGGTTTACGATGAGATTATTAATACAAAAGAAATGATCGTACAAAAAAATTGAGGGTGTGTTCGGCTACTTGTTTTTGGAATTCAATTGGCATTAGAATATTTTGGGATTCAATTGACATTCAAGATATTCTAATTGAATGCCAAATCAATTGTTCGGCAAAATCATAGAATTAGCCACAAATTCAATTGGGATTCCAAATTCTCTGTTCGGATAGTCATGTAATTGGATTGGTTTTGGCTTTTGCTTATTTTTTACAAAAATAAAGAAAAAAGAAAAATTGATTTGTTTTGAAATTACTTAAAGCATGTTTAACTCCTTTGACTAATCCAAACGTATCTCATCAAGACATTTTCAGCTCACACATCAGTTACCTACGCACTGTTCTAGTGTTCTCAATAGCGCAACAAGAAAATTTGTCAAATTCCCCAGAAATGGGTTTAAGGAAAGGGGATCGAACGATGGACCGTCACAAATTTTTATCGCTAGTCGAAATTAGACATGACACTTTCATGTCCTATATCTGGGTTACATTTTAATTTTTTTTTTTTTTTTGCGAATTACTACTACACTACATAGACCTATAAACTCCACATTAACATGTAAATAAAATTACTGATATTCGATAAAATCTAACGTATAAACTTCCATGAGAAGAGAAAAAGATGGCAACAAAGAACTATCCAATGCCTACAAAAATCTTCAGTCATGGAAAAACACAAGCTGTACACCAGAAGAGCATCTCTCTTCATGAGGTTCCCTCCAGTTTTATACTCCAAAACTCAGAATATGAACCTGGAATCCATTTTAGAAACTCTACTCCTTACTGGGAAGTTCAAAATTCAAACTTTTTCGATGATTTCTCTGCTGCATTACGTGCACAACTTCAAACTCCTCCTCTGCTGCATCAGAAGCCACCAGAACCTGATTATAATGCAGACAGTTCCAATGTAACAACTAGAAAAGGTGAAAGAATATTACCTGAACAATCAATTTTCTTTATCAAGTTTGGCCATAAGCCATTTGTATTTCAACTCAACTAGCAATCCCATAAATGTATCAAACATTACTCGATTGAGCATCATCATATCCACAATCTTGATTTTCTGCATGTCATCCAAATCAATTTCCTTCAATTCTGACAAAATTTGTTGAGGGGTGATCTTTGTTTTTTGTGCTATCACAAGTTCAGTCTTTTTTCTTTCCCCCAACATGTAGTCACATCACGGTTGACATGTAGTCTTTTTTCATATTATAATTTGTGAAAAATGTATTGTTTTGCACCAGTATAATCGTCAATCTATAAACAGTGAGTACGAAGTATGATTCAATTTATCGTTTATAATTCCTTTACCGAGTTATGACTAAATAATATGAGGATAGGATATTTCCATTATGAAGATGTAAAATTATAATCAAAGAAGAAGAATTTAATCAACACAAACACTAAAAGCAAAAAAAAAAGAAGAAAAGAATATGGTAGATTCAATAATGTCCTTTTATTAAGTCAAGTCGAAAAATAAAAAAAAATTATATCTCTTATTCCTCAGTACATCCATCCTTGTAACAAATGCAATAACCTTCTTTCTTTTCTTTGTCTTTGATGCAAGCGCTCTTCTCAAAACCTTCTTTCTTGCATCCATCTTCACACTCTTTATCTTTAGGTTCTTTGCAACCCCCTTTGTATTCCTCCCATACTTTGTAGCATTTGTCCTTCTTATCATCATCCCCGGCTTCCACTTTCATTATCATCTTACCTGCCAATATATAACAGAATTTGTCAATTTCTCAAAATTCAAGAAAAATCCACAGATTTCAATGATGCAGCAAATTAAAATAATAGCAATGAATCCCCCAACCCATGTTTAATTTATCGATTTCAGATACACCTTCTGTCCCAAAATGGTCCTCGTATTTGTTAATTTCGAAAAATAAGATAAACAGGACATTTTGCTAGGGAGTGAGAAAGTATGTGTATTGAGAGAAAGACTCTTACTATAGGTGGTGATGACAAAGAATAGCAGCAAAATGGTGGCTGCGAACTTCCTATCCATTTTCCAACTCTAAGTGTTTCTTTTCTTCTTTCTTTGTATTTTTGTTTTGTGTTATGCTGTGGTTATGGTTTGGTGCAAAAGTTAGGTGTATTTATAATGCATTTTCAGATTTCAGTAATCTGTGTTTTAGATCATTGTTTGTAGTTCATGGTCGACAAGTGTTGTTTTTATCGTTTAACTAATTTGTTCGTATCATTTAATGCTTCCCAGATTCTGATAATCTCACAACTAAGCACATGAAATGAAAAAATCGTGACCTTCTCAACACATGTAACAATATTACAACCGTGATGTGAAACTGTTATTTTCTCAACCTGAATACTCCTATACTAAATTTATTAGGCATAAAAAGTCAGACTTTCAAAACTGTCCATGCACCAGATTTTTCTGAAATACAGTCTAAAACAAACGAATGATAATATTCAAATCCAATTTCTAAGAAAACTATGAATCCTTTTCAAAAACTGTAAAAACCATGGTAAACTATTTCATAGGTAGAAGGGATTCATAAAAAGAAATCCCACAAAAAGTTTCCTAGACT